AGATCTGTTTTGAATTTTTTACTTAGACACTTAGATGCTTAGAGGCCTGTTTCACTTGTCGTGCAGGGCACAGCATTGTTTCCGTCCGTTTCTCTCTTGCTAACGTCAACCACGATGTTGGTTTGAACAGCGACAGCGACGTACGCGTGATCCATCGTTACCAGCTGAGAATTCAGCCAGTCCGTTCGTGCAACGAACACGTTAGCCCATCAGGTCGGTGGCCTCCCTCGAGGACGTTGTGCTTCGCGAGAATCCATTGCAAGTTAGTGTCCATCTGTCGTCTATCCTCAATATGTGACCAGCCCATCGATGTTTTGCTTTGGAGATGCATTCCGCCGGATCGCGAAGACGAGACACTAATCTCAAATCTGAGCTGCGAAGTCCGACGAGATGTTGAGCACGTCGGTTGTACTTCAGAAGACGTCGTTTCCACGCTCTGTGTTGTTCGGAGGGCCTTTGACGTAGCCACAGTGTCAGGCCACGTCTCTGCTGCGTAACAGAAACCAGGGAGAACGGCTGAATCGAACAGATGCGCCCACAGCTCTGGGTCCGTCAACTGGTCTGAATCTTTTTTTAGAGGCCAGAAAGCGGCCCAAGCTGCTCTTCGCCTCCTGTTGAGTTCTTCTTTCAAATCGTTCTCTATCTTCATCGTGCCTCTGCGATTGGATATCCTTCTAATTGCTGTCTTACGCTCGCAAAAGACGTTCTACGCCCTCCGATTAATTCGCAGTTCTATCCTCTTCCCCCCTTCGCTCAGCTCTTTTAGCATCGTCTCCGCTTCAGTGATGTTGCATGAAAAAAGAACAGTTACCCGCAAAGCGAACTTTGGAGAGGAATCTTCCATCAACTCGTATACCTCTCTCGTTCCAATCCACTGACTTTATCACCCACTGCAAGGCGACGGTAAACAGCTCTGGCGACACGGCCTTTTGACCTCTTTACAACAGTATGTCAAGGGGGCGATGGAAAATCCGTGCCTTTGTAATGCTCTTGTAACAGTCGGCCAACGTCTTCACGTAAGACCTTAGTCGACAAGCGCTTACACTATGGCGCTGGTCCCAACGCTGTCAAACGTTTTCTCATAGTCGACGAAGTTTAGAACGAGGCAGGCAGTATATTCGGCGAGCCTTGTCCATGAAACCGTCTGGATGTGATCCAAGCAGCTAACTCCTTGAATCCAGCTTGTTCTACGGTCTGAGCTTCATCCAGCGCCCTTGATATGCGAGTGAGAATGATCTTTGTGAAAAAGCGTGAGCGCGCCCAGCATATTGGACGCTAGTCCACAAGATTCTCGTTATCGCCCTTGTTATGAAAAAGAACTGTTGGGAAGGTTCTTAGCAGGTTGAGATTCCTATGCATTTGAAGAGCGCAATGAAGGAAAGCCTGAAGAAGTACCGTCAGGGCCTTCTCGACTAGAGTGGCCTTTGCCTTAATAATCGAAAACGGGATTCGCAATCCTCCCGACAAAAGATGGAAGATCGTGAAGTTTTACACCAACCTCTTCTGCTTCTAAAAGTCTGTACTTACGAAGACCTTCTTGCAAATTGTTTTGCAACCGTGGTTACCTCGAGATGTGATGCAGTCAGATCTAGCCTCAGTGCTCTCCTCCTCTAAAGTAGCTCCTTGGTGGCTTCCGAAAGGCTCTCCAAATTCCTTGTTCAAAACATTGAGGCGCTTTGTCACAGCCATTCATTCCTCTGAGAGGCAGGTCGCAGTTCTTCGTTGGTCCTCCCCGATGACCGTCACAAGTGTCAGGAGCTCCTCCAACCTGACGCCTCAAATACGACTTCGCTCCTTCTGCAACTCGGTTATTTTTTTTCACTTATTATTTTTTTTCCATTCCGCTGTCCTGATTCAAATCTCCCGACCTTGCGTCCCCCTCTTTGGAATTCCAATCTTCGCATCAAGTCACCACGACAAATTTGTAAGAAGAGTTCTCTTTGCGGATGACTTTCTCCAATTCCTCATAAAAAGCATCCAATTCCGACTTAACGGTTGCTGAACTTGGAGAGAGCAGTTAATGATAGTGATGGTTTTCTGATGCAGAGTTCCGTGAAGGATAGCCGGGCGAGGTGATAGGATCTCATGCGAGTCGACAAGATGGACAACAGATGAGTATACGACAAATCCAACGCCTCCAA